AAGAGAGTGTCTTAACGTGCTACTGCTGCTTCTTCAATCCCTGGGTCACGAAGGTCTGGTGGTGGCCTTGCCATTGCTCTGAATGCACTCCTTGAGGTCACCAATGACTGCACTGCAGAGCCAAAGGTCCTTTCTCATCTTACTCTCCGTCTCAGCAGCAATGAACTCGCATAAACACGCCCTCCCTTCAGACACTTCCTCCTGAGGCTTCCAGGGTTGGCCAGCGCCTGTGCTTAACTGTCTGGCAGATAGAAGACACCAAGTAAACATTTGTTGAATGAATGATCACTTCTCAATGTCTCAAGGTCTTGAAGTATTTCAGAGCTACTATCTTCCTGAAGACCAGCTATGATGATAAACTATTTTAGTTGTAGGAAACAGTCCAACTCTGACATCACCAAAGTTTGTACTTTTATTGCTCAAATAATTAACAGAAGCTTACTTTCTCCCATTTCGCTTTTTCTTCATTAAAGTGGGAAACTGCACATCAAGCTTGAGGGATTCATTTATTTGATTTTAGTTAACTTGAATTTTACTATCATTTCCTTCTCTCAGATCTACCTGGCAGCACTTACCTACTAACTCTCCCGCTTTTCACATGACACCTGTACCCCGGGCATTACTACGTGTAGTGCTAAAGCCAACAGTCCTAGAATAAAAAGGAAAGACCACTATGCTTCTTCCTCCCTCAAAGTTTTCTCTAATGGTTACTAGCTGATATTATGGGCTAGGTATTGGAGATCTAAACATTGCTTTGGAAATAGGACAAATCAAATTTAAAACTTGGAATTCAGCTCTATAAAAAAAGATTTATTCATTTATAGCTTAATAAAATATGGGGGGGGGAATCAGTTTTCAAAGGGTTCTTTTTGCATCAAGTTTAATCTCAAAAGAACTGAGCTATTTAATGTCCGTCCAAAAATTACTGAAAATAATGTTTCCTAATAGAGATAAAGATATATAGTGATTACGCACCACCTACTCCATTTCCAGCCGTTCCTTAATGAATGAGAGAATTCTCAATTTACAGGCACTGTAGCTTACCAACAGAGAAAGCAGTGGATATGTTTGTTGAGAAGAGTGAGTAGAAGGAGACGAACCTGTAAGTTCTGGATTAGGAGGGCATTTGGCTCCGGCACTGTGCCGCACTCAGCGGCCCACGCGCACGGCCATCTCTTGTGAGGCGGCAGGAAGAACAGCCGTCATGATATTGAAGTTCTTTTGCATTTTAGTTTTGCTTCCTTGCAAGTCAAGATTCATAATTCACAGATATGAAGAAGTTATAATGTTGTTACCCTTCTTTATAAACAAAAATGTACTAGTCAAATTCCCATATTGCCAGTTGTAAAATTTATATGCTGATAAAAGTACTAAGCAACTGCTGGAGCGTTATCAAGAGAATGCAGTTAATGCAACTTCATTACTACTAATAACCACGGAAACATATAGATCAAGCTCGTGCCGAGGAATTTTTCATCTGAATAGCTCTTAAAAGGGGATGAGCGCTGGTTTCCTTTTTTGAACATTTTTTGTTTTTAACCAATTAATTTCTCCCTCATTCACCACCCATTGCTTCCAGAAGAATATTTTCTTTTCAAAACAACTACTGAGAGTGACTCTACTTATTTTTAGGTATAAACAATTGTAAACCATGTACTTCCAGGAAAAGCATGCTGTCCATAGGTTGTTTTTCAGGCATGACAATTGTCATGCCAAAGTTAGCTAATATTGATCTTAAATATTAGTAGCAGCATTATTCATGAGAAATACCAAACAATTTGCAACAATTATTATGGCCTATGATGTATGCTATTAAGTCACCTGTGCTAAGTTAATGACAATTAATGCAGTTATCAAAGATCTGATGAACAGTGAGGATTGGATTGGATTAAAGATGGAGTGTAATGTGTAAATAGTGTTGAAATAAATAGTAAGATGTCTTTGTAATTAAGACATTAGATATCAAATATTATAAGTAACAAATTCTGTGTAATCAAAGTCTCCCATTACTATTTTCTACTACGTACTATTATTAGGTAAATAGTAACATCTAGGAGAGATTATTCTGAAATTGTGCCAACAACTTACTTTTGGCATAACTTCATTGAGCAACTTAAGTCAGTGAGCAAAAGGGTATTTTTTCTGAAAATCTATGAATCCTCCAAAACACCTGTATTGGAACCCAACCTAGCTTCACTGTTGGGTCCCTTTGGTTCAGTTTCTGAAACTTTAAAAAAAAGCCTCTGAAACTCTTGCTGCCTTTCCCTACCCTCTAACTACTCAACCTCCTTCCTGCAGCCTGGCTTCCTGACCCACATTCTACTGGAGCTTCTAGGGTCTCCAACACCTTGCCTTCTTAATTGCCAGAGTCACAAGCTGTCTTCATTCAACTTCTAAAACCTTCTTAAACCCTAAAAAACAACACATTATCACTTCTGTAAAACATATCCACAACCTTTTCTGATATCCAAATCTTGACATGACCATATTTTATTTCCTTTCTACCTACAGGTTTATTTTTTAGGTTTATATTGAGTATCTAATATTTGTTTATTTCACTCTTTTTGTAATAAAATGTTAGAGACTTGTTTATATTTTTGTCAAAGAATAAATTTTCAATTTATCTTTAATTATTTTTTCTATATTCTACTTTATATTTTTATTGTTTTTCTTGTGTTTCTGAAGTTGAAAGCTTAGTTGGTTCATTCATTCATCCATTCATTCACTTATTCATTTTCTCTTCTTTCCCAAGAAAAGCATTTAAAGCTATACATTTGCATCTGATTAAAGCAATAGCACACATCCCACCTCCCCCTCCCCCCTTTTTCTAAGTGGTCTGTTGACTCAATTGTTATTTAGGTGGATTTAAAAATTTCAGATGGTTGGGTTTGTTTGTGTTTCACTATATTACTCATTTTGTTTTACTGAATAAAAATAGAAGTAACAGAGGAATGGAAGTGGGGGAATGTTCTGATTTTTCAAAAGGAATGTAGAGCACAAACTGGAAAATAGACTGGCTTATACAAACATTTTTACTAATTACTTGGAAAAGCTCATAGTTTATTACAGTTGGCCATTATGGTTCACTAAAAACAAGTATGAAGTGTGAAAGACTGTTAGATTTTATCAAGGTGTGTCAGTGCCAGAGGATATAACGGAGGATAACACATGCTCAGCTAGAGCTGAGCAATTGTACCTCGTGTATTGTTGAATGTTCTGGCACCCACCAAGGGCTCCTGGTGATGGTATGTGTCTCAGATGTGGTTCGAAGA